ACCAAACGATAACACTTGTTATTTCTTGCATTGACACATGTAGACGTCTTGGATAGATTGTGATACGTGTAATAAACATACTAATTAATTACTACAACAGTTATATAGTAGTTTAGCATGATTATAGTTAATTTTAAAATTAACAGATTGATATTGTGCTTTGAATTTAAAGCTTGTATTAAATAATAATAATATTGTAACGACTGCAGTCAATTCTTTCGAATCTTTGAGTATTTGCATGGGAAAAAATTTGCAACAGATTAACACAGTAACTCATTCAAATTAAGTAATTTTATTATATTGTTATATTTATGTTTTATTCGTTTGTATAAACATAAATATCAGTAGTTTCATCGTATTTTATTTGAATGGATACTGAAACCGTTGACAATTATCAGGCTTACAGCAATAAAGATAGAGAATATAATTAAATTTATAATCACTCACCAAATACTTCAAAAATATTTTTAAAATTAATTAGACTGTTTATAAAGTAAAATGAATTGTTTTTTTTAGTCGATCTATATATTATTATAGAGGATTGTTTTAAAATAAAACCAAACACGTTTATTAATAAAATATAAAATAAAATGTAGAAAAGGGTGTCGGCCATGTGCGTATTTTGTCGGTATTGGAGCATTTTTAGCATCACGTGAAAACATCATGGCTCACTTGGCTATCTCAACCTCGATTTTATCGAATATTCTTCGATGAACGGCGTTATATCCCTTCAATTTTTTTTTTTTTTTTTTTTTTTTTCAAATCTCATTTTAGTGATATGTATCATATGATATATGAAATATGATTTTTTTTAATCGGCAATACGAGATATATATTAATGAAAATAACCCCACTAGCAATTAGTAGAGAATACAGTTACAATACATCAATAAAAGGGATGAGTTTCCAATCTATACTATTATTTGTTCCCCTATGTTTAATCCACACATATGTCAAAGATTTTACAGCCATCACTATTCTTTCTGAATTTAAGACAATTTTTTAAAGATCCTATCATTTCGGGCTCTCCATAAACACCATATGGTACCAAATAAGATCGCAGTTAATCTACTTCTCTTCTTAAGACAGTTTCCCCATCTAGATGCATAATCAATTATGCTCGACATTGAATGAAAATCCGTCTCCGGTAAACCACATCAATGAAGGATCATCCGTAATACATCCCTCGCCAACGTGCATGTTGCAAGAATATGGTCACCTGTTTCATCTGTCATATTACAGGCACTACAAATAGTTGAGTCCATTGTAACTCCCCTGGTTTTGAGTGCTCCAGCTGAGGGTATTGGTGGTTGTCGAGGCCAACACAAATAAAAACCCTAAATATTACACACTAAAATAGTGTATAGTGGTAAAGGGATCGAATCCACGGAGATTGGTTCGATTTATAACTCTATGAAAAATCTCTTTGTAAAAATACTTGTAAAATGACAATAAAAATAAAATGGGGGGTTTTGGTGTTTTGAGATACTTGAAACAAACTAGAGTTAACTATGATTTAAATAGACAAATGCAACAAAAATAAGAGTTTGATGTAAAATCAATAAGGGAGAGATGGTTGACTTAAAGTTTCCTCACTTTGACTTTTGATGAACATATCATTAGAATCCAATAGTGCAATACTTTGATTTAAATCCTTAATTTGGTTATAGTAATCCAAAGAGCTTGAGATTACCTAGACTTTTCTTAATTGTTGAAATGGCTAGAGAAGCTCATAACAATTTCCTTAGTCAAAGTCACTAATTCCAAATAGCATGTAATTAGTGAAAGTCAACTAGCATTAAGAACCAAAAAATCACCAAATCCAAGAGGAGTCAATTGCTTTCACTACCATGTTGGAGGAATTGTTTTTATGATTGTGTGAAGCAAAAACAATACAAAAATCACTTGTTGCTTGCTAATTTGAGGATCATTTACTTAATCAAGAAATTAGCCAACTAATCACCACAAACATATTTAAACTCATGAATAAAAACATACTAGTAATGATAATATGATGAAACACAAAACATTTCCATAAAGATTCAAGAACAAGTTCATAGATTCTTCAACATCCAACAAAAGTTCAAAGGATTCAACAAAAAGTCAACCAAGATTTGTTTAGCCAAGCATGGCTAAACTCAAATGAACAAAGTTAGATAAGATTGTACCAAACATTTGACAAGATTCAAGAGGTGAAAAGAAGATGTTCTTCAAGTGTTCTTGGCCTCCAAAAGTGCTCCAAACTCCAGAGAGAAAAGCTCAAAATCGGACCTCCAAGATTATTCTAAAGAGGCACACCAACCTTCCCAATATAGAGCTCTAAGCAAAATCCCGAAATTGCCCTTGTCAGGAATCCACGCGGGCCGCGGGGAATCTTACGCGGGCCGCGGGTACTGACGGGAATTTTGGGCTTCTTCAAGTCTTGGGCCCCCACAGCTAATCCATTGGCCCAGTTCGAGTCCAATCAGCTTCTAGCCCATTTTTCTTCAATGTTTCTTCAATTTGAGCCCAATTTATCTTTCCACATCACTCAAAACTTCCGCAAACTCCCAAATATTGATCTTGCATACTCAAGAATTCTCCCGCATCTTTCAAATTTAAAGCTCAATTCTTCCAAGCCTTCAAGCAATTGACAAGTCCACCCCATGAATCACCTTCATAGCCATCAAGCATGAAATCTCCAATTCCCTTCAAGCCCAATCGCCTCCCAAGAGTGCCGCCCCGCTAGTTTCCAAGAAAATCTGCAATAATGCTCAAGAAACTAGAAAGTACCCCGAAATGGTCATAAAAATAACAAAAAGGAAAATATGCATGAAAGTTAACTAAAATGCGAATGAAATGTACTAAAATAAACTATAAAAAGAAGTAAATAAAATGAAGCTATCAGGTATTCGACTTTGTTTCGCTCTCCAAATAAAGCCCAATACTTTTAATGGAACCAGTTTAATCCACGTGAAGATTCCGTCACATACCGGAAAGGACGCTCTTTCAATTCTTTCCCATATAGCTGCCACACAGAACCGTCAATCTCTAGCAAAAGAAGATACCCATGTGCCACTAGCCTCCTCCTGATGCATTACATCGTCGAATGAAATATTAATTGTTTCTAACTTTTTTATGTTTTTTACTATATTGTTCCATGCACTGCTCCAAGGATGTTTTGCTCCAAACCTATTATTTGCATCCACCAATTTATGAAGACCATTGATAATTTGGACCCAAAATGAGTTGGATTCGTTTTTCAGCCGCCATAACCACTTAGTTAGCAATGCTAAATTTAGGGAATGAATAGAGCCAATACCCAAACCTCCAACAATTTTTGGAGCAATAACCTTTTCCCAGGCCACCCATTTTATGTTATTCTTGCAAGTACCCCCCCCCCCCCAACACACACAAATAAACCGTCTATGAATTTTCTCCAATGATCTTATGATTCCTTCCGGGGCGCCAAAGACAGATAGGAAGAATGTGGGAATGCTTCCCAGTACCGTTTTGGCAAGGGTGATTCTTCCACCGAAACTGAGGGTTTTAGCTTTCCAAGTTGAAAGTTTTGACCTCAATTTTTCTATTATAGTGTTCCACGAGGCGTTTCGATTCATATTTAAACCTACCGGGACTCCAAGGTAGGTGAAGGGTAGCACCGCAGGTTCACATCCAAGAGGGGTTGCCCAATTAACAACCTCCTGGGACGGAACCCCAATGCCATAAACTTTAGACTTGGAGAAATTGACCTTTAACCCGGATGAAACATAGAAACATCTAAGGATTCTAGCAAGGTTTGCAACATTCCTTTGTGACCAATCCCCCAGAAATAGAGCGTCATATGCGTACAGGAGGTGAGATAGACATACATTAGCATTAGGGATATGGATACCATAAAATATACCTTTGGAAGTCGCAGTCTTCGTTACAACATTTAGTCCCTCCATCGCCATGATGAACAAAAAAGGAGATAGAGGATCTCTTTGTCTCACACCTTTAGTCATTGAGAATTTGGCAGTGGGGCTCCCGTTAATAATGATAGAAGCCCTAGCCGATTCAAGGCAACCCCTAATCCACGATCTCCATTTACAACCAAAGTTCATTTGAGTCATTATGGAGTCAAGGAAACCCCTTGTGATTTGTACATATCAATTTTTTTTCTTGTTAGACTATTATAACAAGGTTATCTTATTAAATGGGTTTATTTTATCAAAAAAAGAAACCAAAGATGTTTGAAATGACTAAATAGCTCATAAGCAATTTTAATGCCCGAATAAAACAAACGAAACATTCAAATAAAACAATGACAGGTACTATATCTTCTCGAACTGCACCTAATTATATCTCTGTCGAGTTCATGTCATGGTGGTGCCTTGGTGATATTTAACACTTGTATCTTAAAAAAATTTAATATTATTTATAAAATGTTAATAATGCATAATATATATAAGTTTGTGATATGCATGAAGTCTAGTTTAAAATGTGATAAACTTAATTCGTGTTCATACTTGCTTTTCAAAGTGGGGGTGGCGGAAACATTACTCCAACACATTTATTTGCTTTTTGTTTCCATTTTTTATTTTTAAATAAGAAAGAAACAAAAAACAAGTTAGTGGTCATCTTTATGTAATATAAGAAAAATAAGAAATTAATTATACCAAATGGTTAAAAATAATAATATTACACTTATTAATAATATTATAAAAGTATACTATTTTTCTAACTAATCTGAAAATAAAATAATCATATTAAACATTAAAAAGGAATAAAAATAACAAAATATAATTTCTACAAAAATACATATTTTCTTGAAACGTTGTGTATAAGTGAGAGAAGAGGGTCTTGAAATCTAATCCAGGAAGAAGGGTGTTCTTCTTTCTCCCCTTTGGATTTCTTGCCTTCAACTCACTGCTTTGGTTTGTAACAATCTTCATCATTCTTCAATTTAGTTTATTTCATGATCTTCTTATAAATCCTTTTGTTTTGGAAATAGAAAACTAGAAGAAGAATTGTAATCCATGGAACAAGAACAGCTTGGGACTTCTCCTTCTTCTTCTTCGACTTCAATGAGATCAATTGATGATAAGAATGAAGGGAAAATCAAACAATCAGCAGACTCGAGATTCCCATTAACGTTTCTCGAAATGGCCGGTGCATCCGGCGTCGTTTTGTGCTTCGTCGTTGGTCTCGCTGGAGTTTACCTAACATTGCCGGATTCCGATTACAGCTTCCTCAAGCTTCCAAGAACCATCGAAGATCTTCATATTCTCCGGTATTCGATTTCCCACATACCCTTTACTTAATCACCATTAAAACCTGGATCTACTGTATTATTCATAATGGGGTTCACCCAAGATTTAACATTTTCCCTTAAACTTACGACGTTACTAGTTTGTTATGAATCGCAATCTTCTTACTTGTATTCTCGCCTTAATTGCTTAGTATCTTCCCAATCACCTGTAAAGATTTTTCACATTGATCGATCTCTAGTCATATTTGGGGGTTTCAAAAATGGGTGTTGAATTGTCAATTAGATCAAAGTTCTTCACATGAAAACACCTTATATCTGCAAATCCATGGCGATTTCATCACAATTCTAGTGTGTGTTTCTGAAAGTACATTCCCTTTTCATGATAGGGAGCATCTCGAGAGCTACACAAGCGACTACACAATGCAAGTCCTTGTTGGATATTGCACAGTCTACATCTTCATGCAAACATTCATGATTCCAGGAACTGTGTTCATGTCATTACTTGCAGGATCCCTTTTTGGTGTCTTAAAAGGTGTAGCTTTGGTTGTCTTTGCTGCAACTGCTGGTGCTTCTTCTTGCTACTTTCTATCAAAGTTAATCGGGCGACCCTTAATCTCATCTCTCTGGCCTGATAAACTTGTTTTCTTCCAAAACCAGGTGAGGACAAAACAGTCATTTCAAGTTCTCAACTCCAATTCTCGATGTTATCATCTTATTATATGATGCTCTTCTTTCCATATATATATATATACTCAGGTGGCAAAAAGACGAAGTGGGCTTCTCAATTACATGCTTTTCTTAAGGGTGACACCAACTTTGCCAAATACGTTTATTAATGTCGCATCACCAATTGTTGATGTTCCATATCATATATTCTTCTTGGCAACTTCACTCGGCCTCATTCCAGCAGCTTATGTAACTGTTCGGGTAATTTTTCTTTTCTTTCGTTAATTGTCTTAAACTTTGTAAGATTTGTTTTATGAGTGTGAGTTGTAATTTGTAAATGTGTTTTTTTTTTTTTTTTTAATATTTATAGGCTGGAATTGCTCTTGGTGAATTGAGGTCAATTGGGGACTTGTATGACATGCATTCTATAGGGACTTTGTTTCTGATAGGGCTTGTTTCCATTACACCTACATTGATAAGCAACAAGAACAAAGCATAGTGTTTCCTTGTGGTGTCGTACAGATCTAGCATCAAATTGGAACCCGGTTTATGTTTAAAAGACTTGTGTTTTGTGTAGTGATGTTAAGGATAAGCGTTGGAATGCAGTTTAGTTTTTTTTAATTAGCAATTGTCTGGATAATTACGTGTTTAAATCTTCTGCTATTGGAAACTTTTAACTTTTAATCGTAGATGCAAAACATTGTGACAATCTTTTGTACACATTCATAGGATCATGACGCATACATAGAAAGAGTATAGAGGTATGCTTCCTATTATATTATATCGGTTGTTCTCATTATTATTATCAACAAGTGGTATCCAATTAGCATTTCAGAGTTTCTTGATTTTAGTAGCATCTCTCGTATTTGGGTTCTTCATTAAAATAGCAACTATGATATTTGAATTCCTTTTTTAGATAGGACTACAAAATTTCTTTTATGGGACGTAAAGATGAAAGACATTTTCATTCAATGTGATCAACATAGTTTTGTTTGGTTTTGAGAAAATGCCGGTGGTCTATTGAACAAAAGTAAATGAAGGATTTGAAACAAATTCTTTGCATTTATGTAACGAGATTTTGCAAGACGTTTTGAATATAAACGCAATAATTATTATACGTTGTATCTAAAGGATATTTATATTCTCATCGTCGTTTTATTGAAAGTGGTCCCGATTATGGTAATGACTTGAAGTTGAGATTTTTATGGATTTGGAAACATGGATGTCCAAATATGATGGGGATGGATTTGGGTTGATTTTTTTTTTATGTAATTGGCTATTGTTTTTTTCAAATTTTCAGGATATTTTCTTATATAGTTGTGATTCTTAGATGAGGCGTATGCATCTTTAGGTTCCAAATAAAAGATGGGACAGGATATTCTTAGAATTGCAAACGTAATGATAGGGCTTTGAGAATTCGGATCGTATTTCAAGGGCAAAAGAAAGTTTGGCGACCATGGTAAGATTAATGGACACTCCATTAACGAGTGATTCATACTACAAAATAAGGACAAACTCGTTGAGTTGATATGGGTAAGCAACCCTTGAAATTGGGCCAACACGGTGAACATGGTGACACAAAACCAAAGTAGTTCACTTGAACCTTCAAAACACCTTTTTATTGTCTTTCTGGAAACATCAACTGCAGTGGTACGTGCAAATCTTGTATGTGTATTTTTGTCTTTATACAGCTACATGGATATAATCTCATTAGGATGGTGTAAGAAGGGATAGATATCTTTGGTTATTCCTTTACCTAGGGTAAAGCGATAATGTGCATGGATGACCTTCAGCGTTGTAAGGGGAATTTGTAATAGATCATATAAGACGATTAGTTAGCATATGCAAGTTGTAGAAAAAGGTATAGAAAAAACATGAACAAAAGAAAATACATATAGTGATCAAGTGGGTAAAAAGGGAACGTCGTCGAGTAAAATGGAAGGAGAAGCAAGAAAGAACATTCTAAATGAGAACAAGAAAACAAGGGGCATGTATACAAAAAGATCCAATAGTGCGCCCCCACACCTTCCTATATGAGGTTATGCACTTGGAAGCGTCAGCTTCTTTCTATATAATCTCACAATATCTTCTTACTTCCTTCTTTGGTGTCCTCCCTTCGTTGTCACATGCATTATGATCGACTCCGCCTTTCTAACCACCTTCGTTAGTAGCTTTGGACATGTCCAGAAGTGTTTCTTCCCTCAACTTTTTTGATGATTGGTACCCCTCCCAACACATTTCTACTTGTCACAATTGAATTCTTATAAAAAAATGTTGTGCATGTACCTCAACATCCCCATTTATGCTATTTACATCTTCTTTACATGCTCCTTACTTGGAAAACATTTAGATCCATACATTGTAGTCGGTCTAACTTCCACCTTGAAAATATTTCCTTTCATTTTATTGGGACCCTCTTATCACACAAGACTTGTATGGTCCCTTTCCATTTTAACCAACTTGCCTTTATGTGGTGGGTAACGCCAACCTCTACGCCCCTCCTTTACATATCAACTCCCCCTATGTATTTAAAACTCTCATTTGAATGTGGAATTTGATCCCTAATACATACATATACTATATCGTTCATCTCCATATTGAATTGCACCACAAATACTCTATCTAAGCAGTGTTGATTAGTAACATCTTCCCTTCCAATTTTATTCTCACAATATCCAACCTAGTATTCAACTTAGTTCCATCAATGACCAATATGATATCATTTACAAAAAGCATATACTAAGGCACATCCCACTGAATATCACTAGACACCTCATCCTCTAAGCAAAGATATACAAGCTAATGAAGTCCAATTTTCATCATGAAATATTATATAACACTTATTAGGGTCTACAAACAAGTGGTAGACCAACAATACATGTCATGAACCGGCATGACATAACTATGTAGAACACCTCTAGTTTCCAAGGTCCTCTAATTTTCTCACTAGATATGTTATCATAGGCATTATTCAATTTTATGAACACCATTTCGATGTCCTTAATATTTTTCTTTATATTTCTCTATTAGCCATATAAGGAGGTAGATCGTCTTAGTCATTAACCTTGTTGGTATGAAACTAAATTGTTTTTCTAAATTGATCGTAATGTGGTTTAAATTGGCCTCTAGAACTCTCTCATATAGATTTCGTGGTATGCCTAAGTAACTTAATGTTGGTGATTTAGTGTCACCATGTCATTTTAAGTAACTGGAACTGACATGTGAGCTAAGGGGCTTCATAATTTGTACGCTAATATATGTATGAGGTTGTGCGGAGTGCCCGCATGTATAAGATCGAATTAGAAGCCGGTTCGACGACTAATCGGGGGTCTGGGGGAAGTGCCCCTGAGTCTGGGGTTCCCAAAGGGGCAGCGCCCCAAAACCTCACTGAATTTTACATATGGGAACATAGTGGAAAATTCAATTTCTTAAGGGTGATTATGGTAAAACTAACGAAACTCGTTAGTTTTGATAACCCTAATCTGGATTATCCTGACTTGCTTCCAAAGCAACTAATGACGCCCCAACCCTAATGAAACCCTAATCTCGTTTAATATATAAACGGTTCTTCCTCTTCAGTAGAAGCTTACGAATTTTACTTATCGTTTTCATCAAATTCTCACAGAATCTCTTGGTTTACGATTTTTGTGCCTAGAATCGTAAGTGTCCACTTGGATTATCCTAGGCTGAATTTCTTGCAACTCAGGCATACGGTAGAAATATTAGTTCAGAAAGTGTTCTCACGATCCAAGTTGGTATCCAGATCTCGACTACAAACCCTAATATTTCTTACACTTAATACTTATATCTTTCTTTCACCCCACCTTTTTCCTCTTATTCATAACACTATAAAAACTCAATAAAGCAATGTAGATTTAAAAAAAATTGGCCTTACACCTACAAGACCACCTTATTCTTAAAAGTTTCACTTATATCCACCTTCAAGTTTCTCCAAAGAGTTCTCGGTTTCTATACGTTCCCCCTTATAATGTCCTTCTCATAAGGAGATTTGCTACTAACAAAATAATTTTTGATACGTCAGATATTAGTGTATCCTACAAAAGAATGAAATGTAAGGTGTCCACAAAGTCTTAGGTGACTCGGTATTAACTCATCATCAGACATTATCGGTGTGATGAGAACATAGGTTACAAAATATGGCCATTATGAATCGTTTGGCATTAATGCTCAGGAGGGAGCATGTTGCATGTTGTATCCCGCACAAGGAGGATTTGGTAAATAAATGCATCAACAATGTCATACTAAGGTTGGGAGGCTTCAAACCGTCTAAAGGAGAAGGCATTGTTTGTTGACATAGTTAACTTCATCAACAATGACATAGTTGATTTCATACTCGAAAACCCAGAGCTACACTTTGTGAATGTCTTTGGCCTTTGAAATATGTGTTTTAACTTCATCTTTAACTCTTAAAAATAAAACCAATACGTGTCTTACAAGTTTGGATGGGTGTGAGTGTTAAAAACAAGAAATAAGCTTTAGTTTATGGTTGTGTGTGTGTGTATGTATTACTAGAAGTGCAATGAAATGCTTATAAAGGTGTAAAAGTTGTATGCATGATCTGAAGATGTTAAGCAATGTGATATGAATCATCGCTAAATGTTGGTAAATTATTATATTATGTGTAAAAGCATGTAAAATAATACTTAACACTTAACAAGTATACATATGGTTGAATTACTAAAATAAAAGGATGAAAATATGAAATAAAGTGAGGTGTGGGCTTGAAACACAAAAGGATCATATAAGCTTTAATGTGGAAACAATAGTATTTAATGTTGAAGGAAGAAGAAAAAGTAATACGATCATATACGTATTAAAAACACACAAATAGATAAGTACATGAAAATAAGAGTATATAAACTAATGAATGTAGTTGTTACCATTTACCAACAAGATGTGTTATTTGATTTTGTGAAAGTATGTGTTTTGTTAAGATATAATGGTGAGTATTGTGTATGCTCATTAAACGTTTTCGCTTTGCGGTTGTTTATTAATCTTTTTTAGGACCCTCTAGGATAGATACATGAAAGAATCCGGCATGATTGCAGGCGTTTGCTCACATTCTCTAGGATTTTTGGCTATATTATCATTATGACATTAAAGTATGCAACCTGGGATATGACTTTCGCATTTTGGTTTATGAAACACTTTTAGTAACTCTGATAATGTGTTTTGAAAGTTTAAACAAATTGTTGTTTAGAAGTTTTTGATATCAAGAATGTTATATTTTACAAGTGATTTTGTTATAATTAACAATGAAAGCTATGGTTTTAAATACTCTTTTCAAAGGTATTCGCGTTTATTAATTGTTTTAAAAGAAATTTTTAATTTTGACGTTATAGTGTAGAGTATCAAGTTCACCCCAAAGGAAACTCACCCCATGTTTAGTCTTGATGTTTGTGTTTGTCACACTCATATCGGTGCTATGGAAGTTTCGAAACAAGTCGGTTTTTAAAACAATTAAAATCTCATAACAAAAATGATGTAATTAATGTAAAGGGAAAGAAAAACCAGAATCAAACAAGAGCAAGGAAAAAACCATATCATGAAAAGAAATTGATATATCAAATTTAATTCTTTGTAACATAATCATTCAACAAATTCAAATAAAACCTATAACACCTATCTAAATGTCCTGGCTTTCTTCTTCTGTCCATTACTCTGTGGTGTTCGGTTTTCTGTCTTGCGTTTCACACCACCACTGCCGCCGCCGCCGCCGCCATTTCTAGCTGCATTTGCCGCCGCCTTCCTAGCCAACACCGCCGGCCTCTTTTCCGATCGCACCTTCCTCTTCACCCCATTTTCACTTCTTGATTCACTCCTCACAGGTCTAGTCACTCTTGTAGCAAACTTCTTCTCGCCGCCAGATTTGGTGGCTCGTACACCCTGATAAGAGGTGTTGCCGCCCACAGCCGCCGCCTTCCTGCCATACGATGATTCCGGCGGTGTTGGATTTGACTTCATGGCATGGGACAACCTCAACTCCCTGTCCCGAATCTTCAGTTTATGTTTTCTAACAACTGTATTTGCTGCTTCCTGAAATAATACACAACAAACACTTTTATGTTTGGATATATTTATTATTAATTTTTTTTTGGGGGGGGGTTATCGTGAAAAGACATCCATACCCTTGTGTTAAACAAAACATAAGCAATGCCCTTTCCCAAACTTGTACCCGGGTCTCTGACAACACGAATTGCCTCGATGCAGTCTTTTAGATTGTTGAAACCGGTAAACAACTGATACAGTTCTTCATCCTGGAATAAGTATCAATATATATTTGTGTGTCATTTAAACTTTTTTTTTATTGCAATTTTCTATTCCATGAGACTTGAGAGCATGGGAACAAAAACACTGGTTTGGCTAAGGAATGAAAGGAAAGGAATCACATTCCTTCAAGAATGGTTGATTCCATTTCATCAATAAAAGAATTGGTAAGAGAAATGTTTACCTTGACATCAAAAGGAAGGTTGCCAATAAACACAGTTCTTTTGCTGTCATAAAGTGGTGCGTTTTCTCCCTTCAATTTCTTGCGAGGTGGACAGGCTCTATCCACATGAATATGATTTCCTCCCACCTACATATATCCAACATAATATTTTTAAGTTTTTTCCAACAATTTAATTGACTACTTCTGTATGCTAATAATAACTTCACTTGGGGAAAATTGAAATCAAAACAGTAAACTTACAACTGCCATGTTATGTGACAAAGAAGCTTGGGCAGATTCCTCCGTCTTAAAAACAACATATGCGTTAACCCTGAATTTGACAAAGGATTTTAACTTTAATGAACAAATTGACATGGATTACAAATCGATATGAAGAAATATGTTGTTTGTTTAAATAACCTGTCGACAGCATCATTGATTTTCTTCTTGATTATAGCACCCTTTCTTGGAGTCTTGTCCTGTAAAGAAACAATAAACTAAATCAGATTCATATTTTAGATGAACTAAATAAACTTGGAACTATTTTAAACATGTATAAGAAAACGTACGTCTAACAAAGGAATAGACCGAATTCTAACGGATTCTATTGCTCCAAACTGGTTAAACTCTCGCATCAATGCCTTCTTCTTCACCTTCAATGGCAAATTTCCCACAAACACAGTCCTTAATAACTTTTCTTCATCATCGAATCCTTCTTTGGGAACAAGTTGATCTTCTCCCTTATCCAACTCCTTCCTCTTCCCGCCAACTTTTCCTTTAACCCCCTCATCTTCTTTCAAATCCACATCCATCGCCCCGTATTTTCTTTCTTCGTACTCTGCCTCAACCTCGCCTCTCTTCCTTTTCTTCTTCTTCTTCTCCTCATCAAAGCTCGAGCTTTTGGAACCTTCTGAAACAACCCCTTTTTCCTTTTTCGATTTCTTGACATCTCCTTCGATGTCAGAATCATCTGAGTCGATGGATTCCGGCAACTTCTCTTTCCTTTTCCTCTTGCTCGGCAATGTGTTTACAGCATCGGGGATCTTGGCGTCATTCTTTTGTGGACTATCGATGTCTAATCGAAGAACTTCTTGGAGTTTTTGAGGAATTGATTGAGATTCATTGGTGGGTTTGCTTCGGAACGGATTGGAATCCGAGAATATTGAATCGGAGGTTGGATTATCGGGTTCTTCTAGACCGCCACCAAAAAGGGATTTGAAAATATTGCCTGATGGAGCGGAAGCTGCAGAATTAGGGATTTCAGCTTTGGATTCTTTGGACTTCTTCCCCATTTCTTCAAGAAAGAGGTGGATGGCTTGGAGCTCTCGACTTAAACCCTAACCTTGCGGTGTCTTGTTTGGCTAGGGTAACAATACAGCAATGTGTTTTATTAATAACATTTAACAAATATAATTATTTAATAAAAATAATAAATTTTAACAAATTGTGATTCAGTATTTATACTGAGGTGTTGATTGGGTAATTATTTCGGTTTTCAGGTAATTTGGGTCAGATAATTCGGGATTTTCATGTTAAAACTCGTTACCCCAAATTAAATTCAGGTAATTCAGGTAATGGATCGGATTTGGGTCATTCGGGTATTACTCGAAATATATAATTTTTTTTTGAATTGCATACAAAAATAAATTTAATAAAATAAATATGTCGTACTTTATTAATCATGTTTATATAAACAAACGAGACATAAACGAAGTTACTCAAACTTTGAACACTGAGATTTTTTAGTCAATAATATTTGAAATATCAAGTAATCTTTTAACAGTTTAATCTAATCTAATAAGATGTTAAAAAATATACTTAAACATCTTAGTTTAAAAGTTTAAAATGTTTAAGATAATTATAGTCATATGTTTTGTCATGTTCTGAAGTTTCGTCAAGATAACGAGTTTGTTAGTTGCAATAAAAACTATAATTTATAAAACAGTTATGTTTTAAAGAGCATACTGATATATAAACAATTGTTTTCAATATTGTTAGTTTCATATTGTCATAGTAAAAGAGATTCATATTTTACAATAATGATAGTTACTTTAAACGTGATCAAAAAACTCTACGAAAAAAATAATAATAATTCGGGGAACTCAGATAATTCGGGTATACATGAAACCCAACAAATGTACCATATACCTTACTTGAAAAAAAAAAAAAAAAAAAAAAAAAAAAAAAAACGAGTTACCCAAATACCCAAAAAATTTACCCAATACCTGAAAAAAATCGAGCGGATAATTCGGGTATCGGGTATCTTCGACAGGGCTAATTTATACATAAAAAACCTGTGTTATTAGCAAAACAAACTTTATAGTTAACATATTAGTTTTATTAATTGTAATAAATTTATATCGTTAGTTATTTCCACTATTAATTCATAATTTTATAGATCGTTTTATGTTGTGTAAATTATATATCACACGTATATTGAATTCTATATATAGCAAATACAAAGTAGTTTGAAAAAATAAATACTAAAATTTTTGATGATTTTATAGAATGTTTTGAGTTGTGACAATTATATATAAACCGTATGTTGATTTGTATATAAAACTAATAACAAATAGTATAGAAAAGCACATAGCTTTTAATAAAATAAAAACATTACAACATCTACTATAACACTTACATCAAACAAAACTTATTAAACATTTATAAATCATTCAAAATGAATATTTAGAAATCAACATACATTTGATATATAGAAACTATAGACTCAGAATACGTATGAAGGGTTTTTCTTTTTCTTATTATTCACATAACCAACAAGTACATATATAGGGTATACAATACAGGATAATTATCTACCTTCAAAACTAACTATCGGATATACACCATACAAGATATCCACAAAACTAATTATTATCTAAAAAGACTCTTGACCACACTCCCCCTCAAGCTGATGAATGTATATCGATCATTCGAAGCTTGTCCAAAGAGTCGTTGAATATTCGCACACACACAGCCTTGGTTAACATGTCAGCTAACTGCTCATTCGAATTCACATACGGTAGACTAATCGTCTTTTTCTCAAGATGATCTTTAATGAAATGTCGGTCCAATTCAACATGTTTAGTCCGATCGTGTTGAACTGGATTACTCGCTATCTTCACAGCCGCTTGATTATCACAAAATAACTCCATAGTACCCTTCACATTTATGCCCAGATCCTTTAACACCCGTTTGACCCAAAGTAACTCGCATACACCGTGAACCATACCTCGAAACTCTGCCTCCGCACTCGAGCGTGACACAAACTTCTGTTTCTTACTACGCCACGTTACAAGATTACCACCAACAAATACAAAATAACCTGACGTGGACTTACCGTCAGACTTGTCTCCTGCCCAATCAGAATCCGTATACCCTTTAACTTCTACGCTTCCATTTCTGCCAAAGAACAAACCCTTACCCGGCGACGACTTCAAATAACGTAGAATCCGGAAAACAGCCTTCATGTGACTCTCACTAGGAGCATGCATAAAACGGCTTACAATGCTAACCGCATATGCAATATCCGGTCGTGTATGTGCAAGATAGATTAATTTTCCGACCAATTTTTGATACCTCTCTCTATTGGTTGGAACTTGACCTGTCGATTCTGTAAGCTTATGATTCACTTCTATAGGAGTATCAATCGGTTGACACTCCAACATTCCCGTTTCTGCAAGAAGGTCTAAAACATACTTTCGTTGACACATTACTATCCCATGCTTAGATCTAGCAACTTCAATTCCCAAGAAATACCGTAAGTCCCCGAGATCCTTCAATTCAAACTCGCGACTCAACAAACCTTGTAGTGTGTTAATCTCGTCTGGATCGTTGCCCGTAACAACCATATCATCCACATACACGATTAGGGCTGTGACCTTATCACCGTAACTCTTCACAAACAAAGTGTGATCTGCGTCTGATTGTTTATACCCGATCTTTCTCATGAACTTTGAAAATCTTCCGAACCACGCCCTAGGGGATTGCTTCAGCCCATATAGTGCTTTGTTCAATTTACACACCTTGCCGCCATAATTCATTCCAGGAGGAGGATCCATAAACACTTCCTCTTCTAGATAACCATTGAGGAAAGCATTTTTCACGTCGAACTGCTTAAGTGGCCAGTCTTGATTTGCCGCAATTGACACAAGGACTCTAATAGTATTAATTTTAGCCACTGGTGCAAAGGTATCTTCATAATCAATACCGAACTTTTGCGTGTAACCCTTTGCAACTAACCTTGCTTTGTACCGAGCCACCTTTCCATTTGAATCGAGCTTCACAGTGAACACCCATCTACACCCTACGGTTTTCTTTCCAGTTGGGAGTAACACCTCTTCCCACGTTTGATTTCTTTTGAGAGCGTCAACCTCTTCAGACACCGCTTTTCTCCATTCAGGGTGTTTCATTGCGTCTTGTATGTTTTTCGGAATCACCACGGATGATAACTCTTCCACCATGCAACGTTGAGTGTCGGCTAGCTTGGCCGTCGAGACAAAGTTATTGATCGGATATCGAGACTTCGATGTTAGATCCGGTTGATATTGTTTACGTGGTACCCCTCTATTACGTCTAACTGGATACCTAGACGCAGGTGTCTCATGTTCCTGTTCACCCACAACTTCACCATACACGTTAGAGTTCTCATTAAAAAACATACCTTGCGACGTGTTTGGATCAGACTCGCTTGGATGAGGCTCGTTAACAGGCTCGCTTGGATCAGACTCGCTTGGTATCGGGCTCGTTGTACTATCTGTTGGTGTACTATCTGTTTGGGCTTCACTACCGTTTTGCCCATCTCCCCCTGAATCGGATCCGCCATTACCTATGTCGTTCGGCCCATTCTCGCTTAGTCCATCTTCATAAATCGCATTTCCGGATGGACCCAACTCATTGGGCTGTATATTTCCCTCATTAGATTTCTCCCCCTGAGGGAAATATTCAGGTGTAAAATATGGAATTTTTTCATGGAAGCTAACATCACGAGTAACATAAACCTTCCCACTTTTCGGATCAACACATCTGTACCCCTTCTTGTAATCAGCATATCCAATGAACATGCATTTTTTGGCCCGTGGTTCCAATTTTCCATCATTACTATGCACATAGGCCGAACACCCGAATACTCTTGGTTCGAGATTGGGTCCGATGATTAATTCCAGTTTTTCGTGTACTACTTGTAAAGGTGTTTTGAAATTGAGGACTCTTGAAGGAGTCCGATTCATTAGGTATGCCGCACTCCGCACAGCTTCTCCCCAATATTGACGGGGTACCTTCATGTCGAAAAGAGATGCTCTTACAATCTCGAGTATTTGTTTATTCCGTCTTTCCGCGAGCCCATTTTGTTGAGGAGTATTGGCGCATGATGTTTGATGTCGAATGGAGTTTGCCTTACAAAATGCCTCCATTTCCTGATTAACATACTCACCTCCATTATCGGATTGGAGCACTTTGATCTCACATTTAAATTGAGATTTAATTATCTGATATAGTTCCTTGAACACATGCGGTACTTCACTCTTGTTTTTCAATAACGACACCCAAATCATACGTGAGAATTCATCGATAAAAGTTACAAAATAACGATACCCACTTGGGGTTGCAATTTTAGCCGGACCCCAAACATCCGAGTGGATCTTCATGAATGGAATTGTTGTTTTGTTTTCACTGGGAAGATATGAGACTCTATGATGCTTAGCCAATTCACAAATATCACAACTAGAATCAAATGTTTTATTATTCAAAAATAATTCAGGTTTTAATCTTTTTAAATACCCAAACGACAAATGTCCTAATCTACGGTGCCATAACCACGCTAACTCGTTTCTTCCTTCTACGTTATACGCCTCCGCTAATCTTTCTTCTTCGAGATAGTACAACCTGCCCCTCCTAGTACCATAGCCAAGAATCTGATCCGTCGCGATATCCTGAAAGAAACATTTATTTGGCCAAAACGAGACATAACAATTGAGTTGGTCAATAACTTGGCTAACAGATAACAAACTTGAAGATAAGGATGGGACAACAAGGATTGATTCAAGATTCATTGATTCCGAAATTTTTGCTGAACCTTCGGAAATTACGTCAGCCGATCCTCCGTTTGCCGTTTTAATTAAACTTTGTGTTGGTTGGGTTTTAATTTCCAATATAGAAGGATCGTTTGTCATGTGATCCGTAGCGCCGGAATCAATGACCCATTCATGACTAAAAAATCGGGATATAGTAGGCTTACCGTGATCACTAAATGACTCGGTATGTGCCGCAACCGGAGTCCCATCATCACCTTTTGTTGTAGCCATGGATGTCTGTCCCACCTTCCTTCGTGGCCTCTTTGAGAAGTCCCACCATTCGGGGTACCCAAC